GGAAGTCATGGCGACAGGATATCTATGGTATCTGGTTACATTGTATGTGCAATTATGAATCAGAAAGGTAAAAGCTGATGTTTAGTTTGCTGTCTCTTTTATATTCAGTATGGGTCCCCAGCCCATGGGATGATGCCCTACACATTCAGGGTGTGTTCTTTGTTCAGCTAAATCTTTCTGCAAACACCCTCATAAACATGATTATAAATTCCATCATGTGACAATGAAAATTAGTTATCATAAGTGTCCATAAAATAATTTAAGGTCAAAAATTTTGGTATGATTTCCTCCATCTGGCACAAAAGTGGATCCTAGAGAGTCTGGTGTCCTTAAGTATAGAATTTTGCCAGTAGAGAATTATGAAGCAGGAGGAGTTCAAATGTGCAAGGAAATGATTATATTTATAGTAATGGACTAAAAGTGGGGCTAAAAAAGAACTAGAAAGCAAGTAGAAATAACAGGTTAGGTCAAAGAATTGGGGGATCTGGGATATTTAAGGAAGTAAACAAGCAAAGTAGGAGGTATAGCCAGAGTGAAGGACCTCAAACTGAAATTACTAGTTTTCAGCAATGACAAAGTCAAGAGTGGATAAAGCAGCACAAAATCTAAAAGGATACTGAAGGAAAGGAGGTCAAATATTGCAAAGGAAAGTCTGAAAGGATAATCTAAATGGATAACTGAATCACCCAGAATTTCAACAGGCCTAATGTTAGGAAATTATAGAGAGCTAACTCAGGAAGCCCTGAGGAAGGAAGGGTTGCAGGGACAACTACAAACAAGAGAGATGAGTATACAGTACAACAGCTTGAGTGAGTGATAAGTATAAAGGAGAAAAATGCAGCAAGGAGGAATATAGTGGTTAATTCCTCATGCTCATGTTCTGGAGCCTAATAAAGGCAGTACGCTTTGAAACACAGCTCCCCTACATATCAGGGAAATTTTCAAACAACAACAACAAAAATGTTGTTTTCAGGCATGGAAAGCTTGTGACATCAGAAGCAGAGTCCAGTCAAGGATATGTTGACATTGGATAGTGACTGTTAATCACTGATGTTTGCTGACTATCAGAGGAAGAACAGGGATGGTGCCCATAGCTCTGAGTGCCAATCCCACAGCAAAAGAAAAAAGGTGGAGAGGGTAATTCAAACTACAAAAATGGAAGTCAAGAAAAGGAGGGAGGGAAGGAATGAGGAAGGAAGGGAGAGAATGTTCAAACACTCAAAGACATGAATGCACCCCAAGAGAATAAAGGCAATAAAATGAGGGAGTTAAAATAAGAAAAGACTCAAGAAAGAGAAAAATGATGAAGAAAAGGCAAACTGAAATGATGTTGAAAAGAAAAGAAATGCAGTAAGCCAAATGAAAAGCCCAGGGGCAAACTTCATCAGCAGTATGGGTAATGTGGAAAACAGAGTAGCAGGGCTTGAAGACAATGTAGAAGAGGAATTGGATCATTCAACAAGAGTCAATAGGGGGAGAAAAGGAACAAAGGAGAGCTTTGGGCCACCATGAAAAGACCAAATCTATGAATTATGGAGACAGAAGAATCCCTGCCATAGGCAAATAAAATATTTACCAGAAAATTTCCCATTCTTGAAAGTAGTACTCATCCAAACACAAGAGGACTAACAGAATGCCAAAGGGAAAAGACAAACTCTTGAGGTCATAGTGAAAACTCTAAAAGCAGAATAAAAGGGTGCTATTCTTAGTTAACTTCAGCTGTCGACTAGAGTCATCTGAGGGAGTTCCATGTCTGTGAGAGACTGTCTTGATTGACCAGCCCACTGTGGATCTTACCATCCCCTGGGTAGGTAGTTCTGGGCTATATAAGAAAACTAGCTGAGCATGAATCAATGAGCAAATCTAAATGTGAGCCAGCAAGCAATGTTCCCACATGATTCCCACCCTGAATCACTTCAGTAATGCATTGTACCTTGGAAGTGTAAGCCAAATAAATCCATTCCTCCCCCAAGTTTCTTTTGGTCAGCATGTTTAATTTCAGCAACCAAGTAAACCAACGGCTGATGATTTGATATTAAATGTTAAATCAAGAAGGGCTTACATTTTTATTTTGAGTTCTGAAAGACAACTATCAATCCAGATTTTTATACTCAGCAAAACTACCTATCCTAATTGAAGGAAAAATTAAAATTTTACAAGATTAAAACAAACTAATGACCAATAAGCCAAATAAAAGGATAATGGAAGGAATACTTCAGAGAACATACCCAAAAGGTCAGGGGGGCAGGGAATAAGTACCAGACCAACAGTGCAAAAATAAAATGGTAGGAACCAATACATACATAATCAATATAAATATTAGTGTTCTCATTCCCACAAAAGACAGACTAGCAAACTATATCTTACAAGATCTTTTTTTTTTTTTTTTCTCTGCTAGATTTCTCAGAACCTCCTGCCAAGGATAGCACTGCCAACAGTGAGTTGGGGTCTTTCCACAAGATAATCCTCACAGACATGGCCACAGACCATCTAATCTGGGCAATCTATGCATGGATACTGCCACAGACATTTAAACTAAATAAGATATCTGTAAGTAATGTTTCTCACCTGTACATACAATCTCCCTAGATAAAACGTCTTTCTATTTGAATTTTCAAAACGTATTCAAGTCATTCTTGCTAGGTAATATACATGCAGTCAAACAAAAGTATCATTGTGCATAATATTCGTTTGTCTATGAAGAAACAAGTATAGACAATTCACAAAATATCTATGAATAGATTCTATACTTAATCAATGTATACCCTCTTTTCATATATAATTAACCAAAAAAGGATTTCTCATAGTTTCCATAAATATAACCAACACAGAGGGTAAAATAAACTGGGAATCTTTGTTTTGGTTTTGGAGGAGGTTGTGGAGGTTGTTGGGGGGGGGTTGTTTTATTTTTGGTTTTTTTTTTTTTTTTTTTTTTTTTTTTTTTGAGACAGGATTTCTTTTCTGGCTGTCCTGGAACTCGCTTTGTATACCAAGCTGGCCTTGGTGAGATCTGACTGCCTCTTCCTCCCAAATGCTGGGATTAAAGGCTCGTGCCACCACCACCCAGCTTGTTTTGTTTCTTGAGATATCTCTCTACCTAATCCAGGCCGGTCCTGAAGTAGTAGTAGTAGTAGTAGTAGTAGTAGTAGTAGTAGTAGTAGTCTAGGATGACTTTGAATTTATGATCCTCCTGCCTCATCCTCCACACACACACACCCCAATGACCCCATACCCTCCCCACAAGTGTTTAGAGGTATATATCACCATAAACTTAATCTGGTTTATTATAATTAGTATAAAATAATGGTTTTCAATATGACATTTTCAAACATGTACACAATATTCTTTGATACCACTGTCCCCCTTTTCAGCTCCCTTGACCCTATACTGAATACAACTGGTCCCTCTGTCCCCAAAACAGAAAAATATAGAATAGTCTCCAAATCTGCATTCCCGTTTCAGAATATGTTCTGCTGAAGCAAAAACATGATCTGATTATAAAGAGGTGAAAGAAGTCAGGAGATGCCTTCAGTTCTCCTACCTTACCTTTGGTAAGCCTCTTAGCCTTATGAACTGTGACTGCCTAGAAGGGCTGGGAAACCCACCATATCTAGACTTCCCAAGTTCATTTAACTAAATCAAAACCAGTGTAAAGAAGAGCTAATAAAACTATGACTGTTGTTCCTTGGGAGAACATGTATCCTCATGGCAGAATTTCACCCATAAATGCTATTAACTGCAAATAATAATTCCAATGTTTTTAGCTTTCTATAAAAGTCATAATATAAACCTCTTTCTACATGAGGTTGCAATAAAGATTTCAAATGTGGTAAAACTCCATTTGCATGAAGATATCAAATAATTCACCCACAGCAAACATTATCATAGCAAATATGGTTATAGATGAGAATGCAGTTAGTGTCCAATGTATGTTTCCAGGGGGAAGGGGCTTGTGTTAATGAGAAGACATCCAAGAAGAAATCAAGGTTTCATCATGCTGAAGAGTTAGACGGTTATAGATAAATCACTAAAGGGTGATAATACTTTTCATGAGAGGCCATTAAGGTTTCTATAGCTAAAGAATATGATATGGGCTTTTTTCCTTTCAACTTCACACGGAAATTATAGCATTGATCTATTTTGTATTATTCTTATTTTAGGCTACTGAAACAAGTTCAACTAAAATGAAGCATAGAAAAATAAGAGTCACTAGTTTCAGATAAATAGGAAGTTATTTGGCAAATGTTTATTGTAGTAATATTGCTTGAGATTAAGATTCCTGTGAAAATGCTACCAATGGCAAAGTATTTAACAGTTAATTAAAAGGATTATTCTCATTAATACTGGATAAAGGTAAAACTGGAGTTTTCTTGAAGTAGCAAAAGAAAAATTATCTACTGCAGCTGTTAAGGGAGGACTCCAAAAACAGTCCTAAAATGTTGGGAACAAAGGCAAGATTACAAGAGATTGGTATGAAATTAGTATGGCCATTCGGATAACTATGACTTACTGTCCAATATTATACAAGTTATTAGAAACGCACAAAATATATATACGTTCTTTTAATTACAACAAGAGGGGAAAGCAAAACAGAACCAAGCAATACGGTAAAACCACAAGTTTTGGAAAAGCTAGGGAAGCCGACTTCCCGGATAGCAGCCATGTACGTGTCCACAACTGCCCAAAACTAGGCGGATGACAAGGCCTGCTCAAAAAACCGTTACAGAGTGATAGTCATCAGTCATCACACTGAATTTAATTTACAACTCCCCCTCTTCGGCCAGGACCAGAAAGTCTGGCAAATATAGCCCCCTAATTCGATCGCTCGGCAGAGCTCCTCAGCCCTCGCCCTGGGGCAGCAGGGAGCTCACTCTCCACGCCACGCGGGAGTCCCGAAGCCGCACGGTCACAATCCCGCTGGCTGGCCCAGAAGCGACCGGGCGGGGTGGGGACTCAGAGAGTTCCGCGGGACCAGAAAACACACAAGGGCGCGGGCTCACCAGCTGCCGCACCTCGTCCAAAGAGGCCATAGCCCTGGTGAGACTTCGTGAAACGGTGGTCTCAGGCAGGACCCAAACGCACGTCCCCGGCGGCTTCACAGAGAGGCCCGCTGGGCGTAACCGGCGGGGCACGGGGCGTGCCGGGCGAGCCGCAGCCGTTAATGGGCGGGGCGGCCTCTGCTGAGCGGCCGGGGCGGGGCCGAGGCCGGCGAGGGTGGGAACACGCCAGTCACTACCGGGAGCTTCCCGCGCTCCGGGTCAGTCTCTCCCGGGTGTGCTCCCCCTGGACGTTTTAGACGAAAAGCCAGTGAGCCGGGGAACGGGGTGACCTAAAGTACGGGACCTGAAGAAAACGCTGGACGCCTCAACGCCCCGCCACAGACGGAAACAGTGATTGCTGGCCCGCGCGGAGCCCGGAAGTGGGCGTGGCCTAGGGCCGCAGACTGGAGCAGAGATTGAAGCCCAAACGGAAGTGGGCGTGATGGGGCGTGCCTACTGGGACACTGCCCCTGTGAGGCGGTGACTGCGCTCGGGGGACTCCGACTCTGAAGCTGGCGACTCGTGCCTCCAGTCGCTCTGCAGGTTCTCCAGACGCGCGGCTATGGTGTCCGGCTGAGCCATCCCCGGACCGAGGAGCTGAGCTGCGGAATGGAGGGGCCACTAGAACCGAGCTCCGAGGCGGTCGTGCGCTTTCTCACCGAGCGCGGGGGCCGGGCCCGACACTCAGAATTGGTGCAACACTTCAGGGACGCCCTGGGCGGCCAGCGGGAGCAGCGCACCCGCGCCCGCGAACACTTTAAGGAACTGGTCAACGCGGTGGCCACCGTGCGCACCGACCCCGCCGATGGTACCAAGTATGTGCATCTCAAGAAGAGGTTCTGTACAGGGGCGTCCCCTCCGCTTGAGGCCTCGCTCCCCCGGGACCCACCGCGTATCGAGGTGACCCAGGAGCCTGAAGTCCCGAACCTTCCAGCCGAGCCCTGTGAGGGCAGCCAGCTCCAGGAGGAGGCAGAGCAACAGTTGTCTCTCAGACTGGGAAGCGAAGTGAGCGACTGGGAGCCTCTACCCTCCGCTCAAAGTGGGGCCCAGTGCAAAGACTCGCCACAGGAGGTCCAGGCCGTGCCCTGGGCGTCACTCCCCAGGCCCAGCGAGAACCTGAAACACGGGGGTGAGGAAGCTGAAGGGGGCAGTTCCCTTGGTGGGCCCAACACGCCAAGATCGGCCCGACAGAACTTTCGGGACCTGGTGATGGGCAGCTCCCCTCAGCTAAAGAGGAGCGTGTGTCCCGGGGACGGAAGCTCGGGGAGCTTCTCCGTAGGAGGTCGCAGCAGAGGAGGAGGCGACTCCGACAGCGCATCCTTGGCTTCGTCTTCCGCAGAAGAAGAGAGCAGCGGTGGAGGCTCGGTTACCCTGGATCCTCTGGAGCACGCCTGGATGCTCTCTGCTTCAGAGGGCAAGTGGGACAGCCTAGAAGGGCTGCTCACTTGTGAGCCTGGCCTGCTGTCGAAGCGAGACTTCATCACCGGCTTCACCTGTCTCCACTGGGCCGCCAAGCACGGCAGGCAGGAGCTCCTGGCCATGTTGGTCAACTTTGCCAGCAAACACCAGCTGCCAGTGAACATCAATGCCAGGTCGAGCGGAGGCTACACTGCCCTACATTTGGCCGCAATGCACGGGCATGTAGAGGTGGTGAAGTTACTAGTGGGGGCCTACGATGCAGATGTGGACATCAGGGACTACAGCGGGAAAAAGGCCTCACAGTACCTGAGTGAAAGCATCGCAGAGGAGATAAAGAACCTGGTAGGAGCCATGGACGAAGAGGATGGGGACAGCGCCGCCAGCCGCGGGAGTGGGCGCTGGAGACTTTCAAAGGTGCTCCCGTCACACCTCATCACTTACAAACTCTCACAGGGCATAGAAGATGGAACTGATCATCATCATCACCACATCGCTGAGGGGTGGGCCGGAAGCAAAGCAAAAGATTCAGGACGCAAAGCCTTGGGAAGCTCTAGTGGACGAATAAAACCACGACTCAACAAAATCCGATTCCGAACTCAGATCATTCACACCACTCCCTCATTCAAGGATGCTGAACAGCCACTGGAGGAAGGGGAAGAGGAGGAAGAGGAGAGGTCTCTTAAAGGCTACTCATCTTCCTTCAAACTGAGACCGAAGTCCAATGTATTTGGGTAAAAAAAATAATAATAATTCGTGCTAGAAATGCTAAGGTTTAGTTGTCTTCAGGGTAGACTAATACTTGCTGTGGATGAAAAAGGTGAGTCAGAAAAGACAGGATAAATCACGTATTTAAACTTTCAGACTTGGAGTGGAGCTGTAGTAATCCTACCAAGATAGCATTCTGGGGCAAGAGAATGTCTTAAATGATTCATTATACATTGATTTGTGCCTCCTTCCCTCCACCATTGTAAACTGGAACTGAGGACTGGAATTGATTGATAAAGAACTCTTTTGCTTCAACCATCACTAGATACCATACAGTGAGGACTACCAAGCCTGTTTTTCTAAGTTACTCTTAGGACATTAGAAAATGCAAACTGTATGCTAATGCAAACTGAACCTGGTAATGTCTGTGAGTGAACAAAACTACACACCTCCCTGATCTTTTACTGTTCGCACTTGCTCCTTAAGGTACTAAAGAAAGGTCCAGGTCAAGAGTTGAAATGTGAAACTACAATGAGAATTGTAAGAATCGAGATGGGAATCCTGTTGGTATCTTATTGATATTGTAAGTAGCAGTTCCCATTTCTTTTTTTTTTTTTTTTTAAGCAATTTCAGTTTTAATCACTGAACTGAAGAAATAAGCAGAATTTGCTTTTGAGTTACTGTAGTCTGGTTTGTGCCTATATAACACTATTCAGTATATGGTACATTACTAAATCACAAGTTTTTATTTTAATAGAAGGACACTTAACAACCTGTGGTACTTTTTTTTTTTTTAATGTGTGTCTTGTTGATTATCACTAACTTGTTTTGCTATTCTGGGATTTGTACTCTGGGGATTCTTTTTGATGAAGCTTATAATACTTAGACTGATTTACATACTACTTAACAAATCTTTTCTTGTTTAGAGAATAGCAAAAATCAGCATAAGTATAATACCCTATGCTTCTGTGAAGTAGTTATTAAATCAACTTAATATGGTTCTCATATAAGAGACATTTAATTTTATTAATGCATTCATAGTCTCTATGCTTCCTAGCAACATTTTACAAATGTTCAAAATCTTTCACTTTTCCTACATTTCTTTGTATCTACTCAAAGAGCTATGGGGTAGTTACTAAAAAGCTAGATAGTTTGCCCATTTAAAAATGGGCAAATTTGTTACACTTTATAAAAGGAAAGAGAAATGAAATCGTTTCTGTATTTCAATGCTGCTAACTATTGAATTTCCTTATATGTAAATTAAAAATACTATTCCTTAAAATAGTATATTCCTGAAAATATAAACTTTTATAACTGTGATCCTTAATTACATTCCATTCATTTGTGTTAGAGTAAATTGCTTTATAGTTATGAAATTTAGCTCACAAACATATTAAATCTTGTAACGGGATTAGAAACTTCTGTAAGAGATGACAAAATGCTTCTTAGTGTTTCTGGTCTGAATGCTGAAACCTAATTTGTTACAGCCTACAAGATAGAGGAGCCAAGGTCACAGAGTGAAGGAGACTACATGGTTGTATGAAGCTGCAACATTTTGTTATTAACTAGCTTTCCCAAGTCATAGAAATTTCTAACAGATTCTCACATCTCTCTCAAAGATAGCAGTTAAAATTGGTTAAATATGGGTTGAAGATACTCGTATGAAACGCATAAGCAGTGGCTAAGGAGATAGCTCAGGGGGTATGAGCACTTGTTCTGCAAGCATGAGTACCTCCTGTGTTTGCATCCCCAGCACCCATATAAGAGGCTATGCATAGTTGAGTGTACCTATAACCCAGCATTGGGAGGTGAGATAAGGCAGACGCTGAGAGTCCAGTGGCCAGCCAGCCTACCTGAAACAGCTATTGCTGGTTCAGGGAGAGACTGTCTCAAGGCAATAAGGAAGGCGTAGAGGAAGTCACCTGACATTCTACTCTGGCCTCAGAATAAGCACACATGGGTGCTTCCAAACATTCTCATGCCTGCACTACACATGCATAAGTTGTTATCCACTTATGTGCCTTTTTCTTTGTTTTAGGATTTCAGAAGTAGGTTATGTACATTAATAAGCACTTTTTTGTATATATGAATGAAAAGCCATTGTAAAAAGCAATCACATGTTCCATGTATAGATGCTAACTATATTCAGTGCAGAATAAGCTTTCAATTCCCATCAAGGACTTTTAAATTCCACGTAAGATAAGGCAACTATACAAATAGATGTTTCAGAACCACATAAAGGTTCCATTGAGCAGTCATTATTAATCCCTTCACATGTATGTTAGTAATTAATTGAATAAAATCTATAATTTTCTAGATTTTTAGATACCAAGTAGATACATCATTTAACTTTTCACACTAAAGGCTTAAAACTATGATGAAATATTTAAATTTTCTGGAGTCATTCCTGAGCTGCCAGACAGCTCAGCAGATAAAAGTGGTTGTCTTACAAGCCTGAAAACCTGAGTTTGAGCCTAGAACCCACTGTGGAAAGAGAGAACTCATTCCTGAACATTATCCTCCAACTTCCACATGTGTGCCATGACATATGCATTCCTGTACTCACATACATGGTATACATACAAACACAAGAAATGTACAGTAAGGATTTTCAGCTACTTAACTCGATTCCTCTTACTTTTCAATTTCCAAAATCAATAGTAGAAAAAATGATATGTATAATTTGATAATCATGAAGTTATATCTCCCAATAGTGGCAGCATATTAAATATTAACAGGAGACTGGTAGTTTACAAATGAGTTTTTTCATGTGTTTTCCAGGTACACTTGTAACTATAAACATCAGTTTGCTTTTATGGTATATAAGATGCAGCTAATGTGGTACTAGTTTATTCATACCTGAAATATTGAAATGTGATGTTGTCTTTTGCTTCTTAAATAAGTGCAAGTTTGTGAGTTTAAGAATATGTAAATTTTGTCAAAATAAAATGTTTGTAGTAGAAATCAAATTGTCTTGTTTCTATAGTCCTTTAGCTATGTGTGCAGTGTTTTACGGTTTGCAAAATAATTTTCAGAGTTTCAGTTTTATTTTATTCTTTTCCAACTTACTTAGGATATGAGCTACAATGTCCAAAATATAGGTAGAAAAGTGAAGGTTCAGGGCCTAGAGTATCTTCCTTTCCAAAACTTTGTCTTTCCTGTACATGAAATTGTCAGATTTTTTTTTTTTTTTTTTGGAAAAACTGTTGTAATTTGGCAGCAGTGATGAATGAATGAGTGTTTTTGAACAAAGAACAAGACCTATACCTCTGCCTTTTAAAAAGAAAAACAGGGAGGTTGAGAAACAGCTCCGTCAGTGCAGTGCATGTGTAGGCATCAGAGGCTAACCTAATCCAGGCAATCCCTCATAGGCATCCTGGGTGGGTCTAAAGCCCGTCAAGTTAATCAATGTTAAAGATCACAAGGTGAATCTCAAAATTAAATACTCTGGTAATTTGCTGAAAACCAGTGTTCTTTTAAATTTTGCCAGTTGTAGGAAGATGTATGAAACTGAAATGTTAATCTAGATAAACTATACTAGGAAAAGTGTTCCATGTTTTCACTCATGCAAAATTTAGATTATGTATGTACATACATTTATGTGTATATATAAACATGAAGTAAGAGGGGAAACTATTATGAGAAATGGAAATAAGGAAGGGAGAGGAAAACAAAAGAGGGTTGTGGTTGAATATAAGCCAAGTACATTACCTGTGTAAAAATGTCATAATGGCACTTGGAGAGATAGTGTAGCAGTGAAGAGTGCTGCTCTTCCAGAGGACCCCCTTAAGTTCAGTTCCCTACACATCTGGCAGCTCACAGCTTTCTATAACTCCAGCTACCAAGGGATCCACCACCCTCTACCGGACTCTCATTGTACCCATGCACACACATATATGTACATAAATTATTTTAAAAGGGGTGGATAACAACCACAAAAGTGGTCTTTGGTGATGAGTCACATATTATAGATACCTAACCCTGAAAGTTTAGATGATGATTCCATGTGAATTGTTTCTCAAGATACAATGGTAAGATTGTTTATACACAATTTTCTCTTTCATTTTTCCCTTGACCATCTCTTTAAATGACAATTTCATCTCAAGAAGGGGCTTTCCTATTGTCAGTTTCCTACTTTTTCACTTTAATGTAGTGTTGAGAAATATGTAGCAAGGGCTTTACCCAAGCTTTTCGTGTTAAGATTCTATGTAAGTAGCTCCTTAAATAAAAGTATTTACTATTTCATAGCATTAACCATATGGTTAATTGAATAACAGACATGCTAAGTGAATAAAAAATATTTTTCATGTAATACCAGCCAACCACATCATCTGCTACTCAATCAAAAGAATGGTCATTTATTACAACCCTGGAAGTAAAAATCAGCTTTATTAGGATTTTTTCCTACGTGAGCAATTTAAAAGATTCAACAACTAAGCTCAATTATAAGAAAATTGTGCCTTATAGAATGATTCCATTGCATATTCTTGGCACAAAATGCTAGCTAGCCTTTTTTATTACTCTAAGTACAGCTGGGTATGGAAATAGCTACTGATTCTGTGGACCATCCCCCCCCCCCAAAAAAAATAAAATGGGATAGAAAAATAAAGCTTAGTGTATCATAGAGAACACTGTTTGGGGAAAGGGGCATTTTTGAGTTTATTTTTCCACAATATATACATTTATTTCATATATACATACATATGTGTGTCTTTGACTACATTGCTCCTCATACAGAAATTTTTAATAGTCATTTTAAACATGGTCATGGGTTATACCTCATGACACAGAACACTCACATCTTTGAAAATAACAAAACGGGCTGAAGAGATGGCTCAGCAGTTAAGAGCACTTTCCACTCTTCCAGGAGACCCAGCTTCAAGTCACAGTACCCACTTGGTGACTCACAACTACCTGTAAATTAGTTCCAAGAGATTCAGTGCTGTCTTCTGACCTCCATGGGCACCAAGTGCGAATGCATATATACAAGCAAATAGTCACACAAATAAAACAAGCAAATCTTTTTAAAAGAAAGAAAGAAAAGGACGGGGCTGGAGAGATGGCCC